ATACATTAAAGGCAATATGGAGAAACAACTGGTGTCAAGAATATGAAATAGGCCGGGCACGGTGGCTCAAGCCTGTAATCCCAGCACTTGGGGAGGCTGAGACGGGCGAATCACGAGGTCAGGAGATAGAGACCATCCTGGCTAACACGGTGAAACCCCGTCTCTACTAAAAAATACAAAAAACTAGCCAGGCGAGGTGGCAGGCGCCTGTAGTCCCAGCTACTCGGGAGGCTGAGGCAGGAGAATGGCGTAAACCCGGGAGGCGGAGCTTGCAGTGAGCTGAGATCCGGCCACTGCACTCCAGCCTGGACCACAGAGCCAGACTCCGTCTCAAAAAAAAAAAAAAAAAATTTGGGGTACCCTCTCCAAAACCATATTTCTGGAAAAGTGGGACACTGTAGTCTGTCACTAATATAAAATCCCAGACAAAGACCAACTAAAGAAAATCCCCAGCTCACGCCTGTAATCCCAGCACTTTGGGAGGCCAAGGCAGGTGGATCATGAGGTCAGGAGATGGAGACCATCCTGGCTAACACGGTGAAACCCCGTCTCCACTAAAACTACAAAAACTTAGCCAGGCATGGTGGCGGGCGCCTATAGTCCCAGCTACTCGGGAGGCTGAGACAGTAGAGTGGTGTGAACCCGGGAAGCGGAGGTTGCAGTGAGCTGAGATCCGGCCACTGCACTCCAGCCTGGGAGACAGAGCAAGACTCCGTCTCAAAAAAAAAAAAAAAAAATTTGGGGTACCCTCTCCAAAACCATATTTCTGGAAAAGTGGGACACTGTAGTCTGTCACTAATATAAAATCCCAGACAAAGACCAACTAAAGAAAATCCCCAGCTCACGCCTGTAATCCCAGCACTTTGGGAGGCCAAGACAGGCGGATCACGAGGTCAGGAGATCAAGACCATCCTGGCTAACACGGTGAAACCCTGTCTCTACTAAAAAAAATACAAAAATTAGCTGGGTGCGGTGGCGGGCGCCTGTAGTCCCAGCTACACGGGAGGCTGAGGCAGGACAATGGCGTGAACCTGGGAGGCGGAGCTTGCAATGAGTGGAGATCGCGCCACTGCACTCCAGCCTGGGCCACAGAGCAAGACTCCGTCTCAAAAAAAAAAAAAAAAAATTTGGGGTACCCTCTCCAAAACCATATTTCTGGAAAAGTGGGACACTGTAGTCTGTCACTAATATAAAATCCCAGACAAAGACCAACTAAAGAAAATCCCCAGCTCACGCCTGTAATCCCAGCACTTTGGGAGGCCAAGGCAGGTGGATCATGAGGTCAGGAGATGGAGACCATCCTGGCTAACACGGTGAAACCCCGTCTCCACTAAAACTACAAAAACTTAGCCAGGCATGGTGGCGGGCGCCTATAGTCCCAGCTACTCGGGAGGCTGAGACAGTAGAGTGGTGTGAACCCGGGAAGCGGAGGTTGCAGTGAGCTGAGATCCGGCCACTGCACTCCAGCCTGGGAGACAGAGCAAGACTCCGTCTCAAAAAAAAAAAAAAAATCCCCATCAAAGAAAATACATTTTTGGTTTAAGGGAGTCAGTTCTGGCCTGTGGAAGTTCTTCTGGGGATAATTCAGGGACCCAAACCCACATGGGGACCACAGTTCCTACTTCAGAGCAAGAAAGCCATGTAAGCTGGTGGCCCACCTGAAAGACCCTTTAAATTCAAACTATTACAATTCCAGGGCCTTCTTCCCTCCTCCAAGACGATTACATTTTAAATGCCTAGTTAGTGGGAAACATAGCTCCCTAGTTTTTACATATTTCAAACTATAGTATCCATGTGGCTCTAAGATTTCATACTCATTGGGTGTGGTAGTTCACTCCTGTAATCCTAGCACTTTGATAGGCTGAGGCAGGAGGATTGCTTGAGACCAGGAGTTTGAAACCAACCTGGACACCATATAGAGACCTGTCTATACAACTTAAAAATTAGCTGCGCATGGTGGCATGCATCTGTAGTCATAGCTGCTTAGGAGGATCACTTGAGCCCAGGAGCTCAAGGCTACAGCAAGTTATGATAGTCCCACGACTGCACTCCAACCTGGGCGACAGAACGAGACCATCTCTTTAAAAAAAAAAAAAAAACCATACTAATCACAATTTTGGTACACCTCAAAATCCTCCTACTGTGACACTGATCTGTCTCACCTGGGGCAGTCAGCTGTGCACTTTTACACAGCACCTGCTCATTTCCCCACTTCCCAGAATCTCACAGCTGTTGCAACAACAGCCTTTTGCCAGTGGTTGGGCCAAGTGCCCTTCCTCTCCGACTCCTGTTTCCTTAAACTGTAGTTTTGTTTCCTGCACTTAAGATTTCTATATATATATTCTGCAAGTACTTCAAATGTGTTTCTCCCCGTTTTCTGTCAACACTGTAATCAACTGATTTATCAGTGTTAAAACACCATGCTATTCCAGTAATTTTTACATTTGATAACTTCACAATTACCACCTATGTTTTAATATAAAATAGATTACTTAGGGCCATAAGACATGATGAAATTATGTCTATGAATATCCACCAGAAATCTATCTGGTTATTTTCCCTCTTTCCTTAAATCACTTAGTTTTCCGGACTAACATTTAATCCCACTTTATAGGTTTATTTCAGTTATCAAACGGTACTTACAGAGACTACAAATTGGGTAAGGTCATTCAAAGCCTAGCCTAGAAAGGACTTAGGTTCTACTATCTTTCACAATGTTTCTTCCCACTATTATACTCTATGCAAGCTGGTAGGTATAAGATAAAGAGAGCTTGAAGATACTCCTTTATGCTTCACTTCAGAAACATTTCTTGCTTCTTCAAATTATGGAGAGAAGCAGGGAAGAGAAGTTCTCAACAGGTTTGAGGCAAGACCATTGTTTCCAATATGCACGATTTTTCTTCAAGCTTACCAACACTGTCCTCCAGGTGACGCTGGTAGAATAAGGAACATCAATCATTACAGGAAGGCAATATTATCAGGTGAGCATTTTAATTGTGAAGGAAACAGAAAGCAAGTTAGAAGACCGAAGGCAAAACTGACTTGTTAATAACATCACTAGTTTTATACTTCAGAGGACCTAAAGCCAAGATTAAGTTTCAAGGTTACAGAGTGCTGGCATCAGAATATATCCTCAACACAGGTGTCCTGCTCCATCCTCCCTACAACAGGCTACTTACCTCCACAGCTCTGAACAAAGCCCAGGTAAACCCAGAGGGTTACTGAAATTTACACCTTTTCCAAAAGAGATTAATAAAATAGAGACTGAGTCATCCCAGTAACATTAAGAATTTAATCTACAAACACCAATTTAGCAGGGAAAGTGACTCCTGCCAGTCCTTTCCAACATATTATTTTTCTTTTAAAGAAAATATCTATAAGCACAATATATTACATTTAGATGATGGAGGAGAAATGGTTTATCACAATTCTGAGATGGCAGAATTAAAGCTTGGATTGACTCTTCAATACTGGCTGGCTTTTCCAACTCATTATTTCAAATATAGATATTATAGATTCCTTTGGTTTACAAAAGGCTACCTTAACCCTCCAGAGAAGATCTATGGACACTAGTAGCTAGCTGCAGGAAAGCATTTTACAAGCCTACTAGAAAGCCAATCTTTTTCTCTACTCAAACTAGATTTTGTTCTGGTAACATCTCTCCATTCTTGCCCTTTTCCCCCATTTTAAGTTGCCTCAGGTTTCTGATTGTTCCAGAACGCACCTTCTAGCCATTTTTCCTTCACCTCCATTCCCCTTCATTTAAACCTTGTCCCTCCTTTCTTTTCACCACATTTATTTCCCAAAGGGCTCCTAACACTGCAGTCTTTACGTCTCACTTAGAGGGTGAGCAACCACTTCATGAAAATGTGTGGCGAGGCCTCAGCCTGCATAATCCCAGCACCACTCAGTAACTGGGGAGGAGAGTTTTAAGTGTGACCTGCTGTGGACAGAGGCAGCTTTATCCCAAAGAAAATTAAGGTTCAGGATCCCTTCCAAGGAAATGCATTCAGTCAGTCCCATTTCTGTACAATATGCAAAAATTATATTTTAGATTTTCTTTTAAAGGACCCCCTGAATTACATGAAGTTCAGCCTCCAGACCTAGACGGCCCCCCGGTTTGGAAGAAAACCTCCTGCCTCACCAAAACAGCATGCTAATAGTGCTGAAGTCAAGATCACCCACAAATCAACATACGGGCAACGGTGTTGCTGGTCTCCAAACACACCCAGTTGTGTGTAACAAGGACACCACAGGAAAGGCAACTCTTCAAGTACCTTTCTTACCTGAACAATCCTAAATATTAGGCCCAACTACATATTTTGTCTGACATTAAGGTCAACAGCCTTCAAATGAGCTTTCCAAATGACTTAAGATTTTAGGGAGCCTTTGTATTTGCAGTTTTTTCGGAACTCCCTCCAAAAGGCCAGCAAGGATACATTTACTATAGTCATGGGCAGTAATTCTCAGACTTAAGCCAGCTAAAAATCGCCTGTGAGAGCTGGTTACAATGCAGATATGAGTCTCACCCCCGAATTTCTGCATCTGTAGGTCTAAGGCGGGGTTCAAGGGGCTCCTCCCAGGTCTCAGGAGGTTGTACACTGAACATAGCAGGATGGTGGCCGCAGCTGTAGTTCTATCACTGTGTGACCTTGACACAGTGAGAGGAAATACTCATTTAGAGAAAACGTAAAATAACGTGAAGAGTGAGTGAGATGGTAACCGGAACTCAGAAATGCAGGTGGTGTGTGACCCACGGTATTTTGCTAGGGTGTGGCTGGGCACGACTCCTCCACCGGAGAAGAAGCTGCAGAATCGATTTATGAGGGTCTCGGGAATGCAAAGGCACACAGATTAGTCTCACCTAGAAGTCACGTTTCATTTTAATCTCCAGGCAGACAGAGCAGAAGCAAACCTGGGGCTGTGATGGGCCCCACACCCTCCGCCCCCTCTCCCGCCCTCGTCCACGCCTAGACTGCAGGAAAGGGGTCTTCGCACACAAAGCCAGACCCCCAGGAGTGGGAAGATGAAACCAGAACAATTCGAACAAGCAGAGCAAAACAGATCGGAATTACGGACTTCAGGTCGTAGCAGAGAAAACCAGCTGAGACAGGGCGCCACTCACTAGGTGATTCTTTATTCCAAGTTGGGCAACGGAGGAAGACGAGAGGGGGAGCCCCCGGGTCCGGTGAAACGCTCTAGGAGGAGGAATGCGGCTCCTTCACGTCCCCTAGGGCACCCTTTGCCCCCGCCCGGGATCCGAACTAAGATGTGGCGGCCCCGGCCCGCCCGCCCCCAACGGGGCTGCC